GAAAACTGTCATTCGCCTCAGAAATGCTTATGAGGTTCTGCTTCTGCTGCTCCAGATGCACTGCGGGACCTTTTGATCCGCCTTGATGTGCTTCAACCATAAGCTTTGCATGTAAACCAGCTGCTTCTGCTGATCAAATCGCTTTTGGTGTGAATGTAGCATCAGAGTAATGTAACAGAACATAAATAGTGTTTTCAGCCATTTGTATAAAATGTATGTCTGTGCTCATACCTTTCCATACTGATCACTGCTGGCCTGTGGCAGGCTGATGCACGGTGTAAGGGTATGGTAACTTGGGTTGGAAAAATAGTTGCTTGGGTGGGTCTCATATGATGGAGTGTGAGCCTCTAAAAATAAGAATGTAGGATTAGCAGATTGTTAGCAGAGCTTCTTTTATGATTCCATAAAGATTTGGATCAAAAAACATATTTTGATGTTCTGCAGACTTAAGAGGATATTTTCAGACAACACAGGAAGTCTGGTACAGCGGTAGGTTCTCTGTTAAAAAAGTTCATACGCAGCATCAACGCTATAGTTCTATTAGAGGTTGTTCCCAGGAGATAACATCTACAAGACATTATCTTTAAACAGTATCTGTAAACAAATAGATTAGTAGTTGAAGCCTGTAACTGTTAAGAACCATTTAACCTGTAATAGACATTGTTTGATAATTTTGCATGTTTAGAGAACTAATTAGTTTTTAAACAATAAATAACTGTAATTTACCCGTCAATGCATAAGTAGGTGTGACCCCGCTAGCAGGAGTGTAGGTTACAGCGGGCATGGGGCTCTCTTTGCTCCTGTGTTTATGTCTATAGATGATGAAGAGGAACAGGAGTAGAAGCACCAGGAAAACTAGAACAATGATGCCTGCAATGACTCCTATTTGGTAGAGGTTCACATGTTCAGCTTCGCTGGTCAAGTTGTTGAACCTTTCAGTCACAACTTCGCCAACTGCAGAAAGAGAGAACAAAGGTTTCACTCTATTACATTAACCAGACAATTCAGGTGTGAACTAGATCTCATTGGAAATGATGACCTCTCCTAAAAGCTGAGGCAAATAAAAAATTCTATATTATTACTGTCTC